ATGATTAATTATTCATATTTCCTCATGAGCTGATTCGCTACAATAATTTTACTATAGTAATTGTTCAATTGAAATTGCTGCGTATATAAATGCCCCTTTTTACATTTGATCCGCTGCTCCCGAGAAACTCTGCACTTCACTGCTTTTGCTCTGTATAATGTCTTTCATGATTTGTTATTTAATATTGACCCAGCATGGCCAAGGGGGGCCTGAGGCTGGTTGAAAGATTAATTGTTAATGGACATTCACCAGCATTGTTCATTTTCAGCCATCCAGTTTCTAGCTCAGCAGGGAAGTATTTATTTATTTATCATTATTATTAGTTCATTGCACTTTCTCTTTCCCTGATGAATGCCATTGGCTGGTATCAGTGTCATTAGTTATTTTGGGCTGAAAGGAGTCAAAAATAAGATCTGGTTGTGATGCCACATCTATCTGCCTTGTAGGCTGCATTTGCAGCTTGTCGGGAAGTATTTGAGGGTCACTGGATTTAGCTACACTTGTTGCATCATAGTGCAGTGATGATGTGTTTAATAGTTTAATTATTCTATAAATCATATCACTACTTTTTTTTAATAATCTCCATTGCGACATCAGTTAATGCAGTTATGTAGTAGAAATGCTACTAGAAAAAATGCCCAATCCATTATTACAAAGTGAAATTAAAAATACTGAATATTATAAACTGTACGGATTATACTTCATACTGAAACATACTGTAGAAAACAAACTAGTCTGTATAGATTTACTGCAAAGCAAGCACGAAATGAATCATTAAAGTTTTATAATTATTACAAATTTAATAACATATTTTTTTTGCATTTAGTATATTCAAAACACCTCAGATAGGCCTTATGTTACTTTAGAGCTGGCGTAACTCAAACATGTCCACCCCATTTCCCATGATGAGTTTTTGAACAGCTGCCTGTATTCGTGTTTCCACAGTGTCTCTGTTGCACAGTAATACACTGCAGTGTCTCCAGTCTTCAGCTGATTCATGTGCAGATAGAAATTAGAGATGTCCTTAGATGCTGTGAATCTGCCCTGCACTGACTGAGCTGAGCTCTTATCAGAATCTGAATAATAATAAATAATCCATTCAAGTCCTTTTCCAGGTGCCTGACGGATCCAATACATGTTAGTGCCACTAACAGAAAACCCACTGCAGGCACAGGTCAGTTTGTAGGAACCACCTGGAGCCACAACTACTGACTGTTCAGACTGTGTGAGCACAACCTGACAGTCAATACCTGTGGATAAACACAACATTTAGAATAGAATTATGAATGTGTATTTATTTACACTAAGAAAACAGTTTATTTTGTCTCATATATGGTTTATATGAAGGTTGAGCTGATGAGTCTTTGACTTAACAGTGTAGCTGTTTAAATATGAGATGGGCATCAGTTAATTTGCATTGAAACCTTGAATTAGCAAAAACTGTGTGTGTATGTTGTGTATGCATGTATGTAAATACATCTGAGTTTCTCCATGTGTTCTGGTGAAAATGGGTGCAGCACTGTATTTTAGTGGTGGGCAGACTCCTATTATTACAGCTGTATCTTTAGTCTCTGCAAAGTTTTTTTCTTAAGACAGACTGTAGACACCTATTAGCTTGATTTTTTTATGTTAAAAAACATTACTGAACAACAGAATTTATTCAAATATTTAAATCTCCAAAAATGCTATTTTCTATAGCTTATCAATCATTATTTTGTGTGAGAATCTCTTATCAAGCTACTGTCTTGGCAGTTTTTGTGCACAGCATTTCAGTCACTGTGTCTCCCGGGCACAATAGTACACAGCAGAGTCTTCATTCTTCAAGCTGCTCATCTGCAGATACACCTGCTTCCTACTGTTGTCTCTGGAGATGGTGAACCGTCCTTGTACAAACTGAGAGTAATATATTTCCTGGCTATCATATCTGATCAATGCCAGCCATTCAAGCTCTTTTCCAGACTTCTGTCTGATCCAAGCCATCCAGGAGCCAGCAATGTCAAAACCAGAGGCAGGTCATGTCAGCTTATGGGATTCTCCAGGTTTCATGACTACAGCCTCAGACTCAGTCAGTGTTTGACACCAACAATCTACAAAATAAAACATGATCACTATGTGTAAATTCAGATAAAAACAGACTGAAAACTAAAAACTGGAATCATACATTGAGAAGACAGGAACAGCATCGTAAATCCCAAGATTATACAGTATGTTCCATGTTTGTATACTGAATTATTGAGCTGTACAGTGATACAGAAATGAATATGAAGGGTTCAAGAGAATAATCCAACATTTAAATAATTGAATATTCAGTTAGGGATATCTTGTATTTAAATAGGGGCATCATATTACTCCCATGCATTTTATGGATCCATACAAGGCATACAGAGTAATTAACTCAAATCTATCTATATTAAATGCTAATATTAATTAATTTATTTGATGTGTATCTGGTATTTTTCTGTTTTTTTTTAATTACTATTAATTAAACATAAATAATATATGTATACATATGGTATCATATTCATTTTTTTTTTCTTTTTCTTTTTCTTTTTCTTTTTCTTTTTTCCTTTATGATATTGTCCCATTCCAGAGTCAACAAGCACAGGATCGGCATCTCCATTACTGTTTCTTTTTTTTTTGGTTAGGTCCAGATTTCTCCTTTACAGCATACACCAACCATATTGCTGATGGTGCATGCTGTAAAAAAAAAGCAGAATATCCATCTATTGCCATACAACAGACAAGAAGTAGCCTATATACCTATTATCAGCAAAATGCAGATTAGTCACGGAAAAACTTATGCAAATGAGATTGGGGAACACATTAGTAATCTGATTTGATTTAGTTTATTTCCACAAAAAAAACAATTTAAATGTATTAAAACTATGGATATTTACTTTTGGACTGAAAATGTTATTAATTAGTCTAATATAATAAAATCTTTATTAGTAAAATTTATAAAATCTTTCAGTCTTTTTTTATTTACATATTTATTTACATTTTTTGACATAATATTTTATTAGTAATATATTGATTTTATATTAACTTCAAAACAATCACTTGTCAATGCCTCACTACAGGTGTTCCACTAGCACTGTTAGCTACCTCTGCCGGGAATGTTAATTGTACTGAACAGTTTTCATGTGGAAATGCAACTGGAACTGTTCAACCAAATGGTAGGAAAGCGTGTATATGCAGTTTAACTTACTTCTTGATATTTTCAAATTTTGTTCAGTATTGTAGTTGTATTTGTCATTGTGGTTTTATTGCAAAATAGTATGCAGCAGTGTCTTCATTCTTCATATTATTCATCTGCAGATACATCTGTTTCTTGCTGTTGTCTCTGGAGATGGTGAAGCGTCCCTGAACAGACTGAGAGTAGTATATATAACTACTACTAGATGAGATGTATGCCAGCCACTCCAGACCTCCTCCTGCAGCCTGTCTGATCCAAGCCAAGTGCTGGTCACCACTAAATCCAGTGACTGTACAGGTAAGTCTGTGAGATCCTCGAGGTTTAATGACCACTGACTCAGACTCAGTCAGTGTCTGACACCAACAGACTGAAAAACAAACAGTTCAACACTAACATTTACAACAATACACATGAATAAGTCTAATTATCAACAAGTTTTCAAGAGCGTCTTACATTCTGTGAGAGCAAACATGAAGATAAAACCCAGTTTAGACACAATATCCATTGGCATGTTATGAAACAAGAAACGTAATGCAGCTAAGTCACAAACAAGTGTTGTGAGATGAACTGAGTGGAGTCTTTTTTCTTTTAATCAGGGCAAGGAGAAGTAGGTTTGCATAGGGTTCCCTCTAAAGATACATTTACATTTTCTGTGACTCTTATTAACCTCTGGAACCATGCTGCCTTTCAAAATGTTTGTATAACTTTTCCTAAAGCTTATTTAGTACTATCATCATTGATTCTGCACTGTTTAGACTGAAAGTCTGTTCAAAAGATCATCATTCAAAGATATTCAATGATGTGCTTAACATTTAAGATTTTCCTGGTTCATTAGGGACCAAGCACCGAAGGTGTTGTACAAAGCCACTGGAAGGCAAGCCTGCAACCTTTAGCCAAAAAAGCGTAATGGCTAATCCTAACGCTGTAGCTTTGGCAGTATGCAGGGAAGGAGACCAGAGGCCATTTTGTTTGAATGGATGTCAAAGGAGGAGAGGCATCACTACGCTGAATATACAGCTTTTATGAGGAAACAGCTTATCATTTAATGAATCGGCAGCCTATTGGCTAATCTTCAACATGTTTTACACTAAACAATACTTTTGGATTGCACTATTTTTAGAGTTTACACAGAAAAAAATACCTTTTTATAATAGAAGTACCGATAATGGTGGTGTTGGAATTGGGTGAAGAGTGAAGACATGGCTGTAGGGGAGGACTGCCAGGCGCGGCTGCACTGGCCCTGGGACTTAGCAACCAGAAGACAAAGCAGAAGACGGGAAGGTGATGAGAGAAGAGACCGAGAGCTAGGCGGGTCACTGATGTGAGGCCTTTTAACTTCTATGGAGGTGACACCTCCGGGGGTTCAGAGAGCCAATGGTGACTTTAACTTTTGGAGGGAAAGTTTATGACCCTTTGTCTTCAAACATGGTATTTTGCATATATGTAACTGGATTGGGTGTTGATGCAAAACTATTAAAGATTCCTAGGACACTAATATGTTGCATAGGTATCAACATATATAATATACACTCTCATTTAGATCATCAAAATACGAATTTGTAGATACCAAACATGGTAGAAGTGAGATTACATTAACTAGTGGTTCTAAGCATGCACAAACAGTATACAATAAAAAAGACGATATACAAGAACAGTATTAATACACAGAATGACCTGGATATATGCATGATAGAATGGTCAAAGAAAGGTTTGTCTATGAATTATCGAAAGGAGTCCTTTTTTATAGCCAGTATATGTGTCTGTTTCAGAGGGAATTAAGTAAGAGGGAGAATCTCTCGACATGCCATTAGGTCGTAAAAGTTTATCTGGTCTGGCTGTGGTGTCCTGGTTGCCATGGTAACCAGGGGTCGGGGGTCGTTCACAGACATCCCGGCACAAAGTCTGGTTGTTGGGTGAAGGGGTCTATTGGATTGAATTTGGGTTGAATTCTGGCTTTAATATGACATTATCTGCTTTTAACGTGTCTTATAGGCATTATTAGTGCTCATCTGATTAGAACTCAATCATTAAGAAGAATTCCAAACAACTGCTGAGATGTTGCTGTTTTTAACCTGACTTTATAAACATGTTTAAAGATAAGAGAGCAAAAAATGTATCAGATTAATTTATTCACTTTAAAATAAATATGTAAGTGAATACACCACTTCACAAATAAAACAAAATAAAATACATTTATAAAACCCCAATAAATTAAAATACAGTGACTGACCCATCATCTCCATTCCTCACCCCTTCCTGATCTGGGTTTTTGTAAGGGTAGCTGTATGAAAACAAGCAAAGTGAATCTCTTGCACAGTAATACACTGCAGTGTCTTCAGTCCGTAGTTGGCTCATGTGCAGATAGAAATTAGAGCTGTCCTTGGATGCCATGAATCTGCCCTGCACTGACTGAGCTGAGCCTTTGTCAGAGTCTGTATGATAGTGCAAGATCCATTCCAGTCCTTTTCCAGGGGCCTGACGGATCCAGTGCATCCTATAACTACTAAGAGTGAATCCACTACATGCACAGGTCAGTTTGTAGGAACCACCTGGAGACACAGTTACTGACTGTTCAGACTGTGTGAGAACAACCTGTGAATAAACACCTAAACACAGAGACAGAAAATGCTTTACACATCTAATGAATCACAATACTGATGAAATAGGATTGGGTGTAACATTGTAACTCCTTAAAACTGCCTAAATAACCGCCTCTCACTCTTTAAAAAAATAAATAAATAAAAACACTCACTGTGTACAGCTGCCAACAGCACAAGGAGCTTTAGGGAGAACATTGTCTCTCCTCTTCAGATAAATCACTCATTTACTAGTTTTAAATACGAAATATGGCTATTGAGTTTGCATAGATATATTTGCTCATGCATGGGGACACACATAATGGGTGAGTTCAAAGCCTAGAGTCAGTTTTTTTGTTTTTTTTTATGGAAGGGTGTCCTCTTCTGGCATTTAAATTATTCTTACAATGGGTCAATTGAGCATACAATGTTATAACATGCCATTTAGTGGATGAATTCGATAAAAAGTATTTACAAATGCTAAAATATCACCTGACTCATTTAGTGTTCCATATTCATTTATTCATTTGCTTTGATTTAGCTATATTTTGGTTATTGTGTCATATGATGTATAATACAAAAAGGAACTGTTTATTGAAAAATGTGTTTAGTGGAGACAGGTTTTTGTACAGGTCCTGTGGCAGTTTGTGGCATAGTGCATTGCGAGCACAGTAATACACAGCTGTGTCCTCAATGTTGAAGTTCTTTCCTGTTAAAATAACTGCGTTGCTGGAGGATTCAGAAGAGAAACTGAGCTTATTATTGAGGGAGTCTTTGACACCATTGCTACTGGAAGTATGGAACCCGCCGATCCATTCCATCGGTTTTCCACTTGAATGTCTGATCCAGTTTGTGTAGCCTCCACCTGAGGCTGAATTTCCAGTGATCTTACAGGCGATGGTAAATGTTTCCCCTGGTTTAACTACCAGGATAGGAGGTTGATCCAGCTCAATGCAGAAAAGACCTAAGAACAATCAATAAAACATTTCAGTGATACAAATTGAACTCCACATTTGAACTAATGTTCATTAGTATTTTGTTGTTGTTGTTGTTGGGCTGATGATACTCACAGTGTGTAGCGGCCAAAATCAACAGTACTGATATGCAGTACATGATGCCGGTTGTATTTTCACTCCGCTCTGTAAAACACAAAGAGCCTTTATTATGTCTGTGTGCTTCTGTTTACAAGAGAGAAGGGAGGAGATTTGCATTGATGTAAAAATCTATCTGACGATAGTAGCAAGATACAGATGTGTTTGTAAACGTTTATTGGATTCAGCAAGAGGAATTTTGGATAAACAGGAACATTTAAGAAGGCTTTATGATTCATGTGAAAAAGGGGGTCTATTTAAGAGTTGCTAATCTAGTTACCAACAGGACAGTGAGCCGTGAACATGCACTTATTTACCAAACATTTATTATGTATATATAGTGAGATGAAGGATTGCATCGAAAATTAATGCAATGTCTAATATTATGTTAATATTATAAATAAATGTTCATATGTGTTCAGTGCAGATGTTTTTATACAGGTTCTAAATCAGTTTGTGGCACAGTGTATAGCGAGCACAGTAATACACAGCTGTGTCCTCAGTGTTGAAATTTTTTTCCTGTTAAAATAACTGTGTTGTTGGAGGATTCAGCAGAGAAACTGATCTTATTTATAAGTGAATCTATGACGTAATTTGTAGCGGAACTATATCCAATCCATTCCATTGGTTTTCCACTTGAATGTCTGATCCAGTTTGTGTTGTAGCCAACACCTGATACTGAATATCCAGTGATCTTATACAGACGATGGTAAACATTTCCCCTGGTTGTACAACCATGACAGGAGGCTGACCCAGCTCAATACAGAAAAGACCAAACAATAAATAAAACATTCTCACTGAAGTAAAAAGAGATCCACATTTGAAATATTTATTGTTGGACATGTGTGCAGTTGCCAAAATCAGTAGTACTGAAATACAGTACTTGATGCTGGTTGTATTTTCACTCTGCTATGGCTCTGTAAAACAAAAAGCTTTTATTGTGTATGTGTGCTACTGTTTACACGAGAGAATGGCGGAGATTTGCATTGATGTAAACATCTATCTGGCTGTAGTCCTTATGGTAATTATTAACAAAAATTCCAATTTTGTATTCTTGATTTATAAAATAAAGTCTAAAGTTAATCCAAAGAAAAAATATAACAACCATATTTGCTTAAACATTTATTGAATGCTGAAACAGTGTTATGAATGCAAGAACATTAAAGGAGAGGTTTTGTGATTCCTGTAAAGAAAGGGTTTTTAAGGCTTTTTTAAGACTCATGAGGATAGGTAATGACAAGACAGTAAACTGTGGTCATTTGTTTACGTATTTTATATATCTGTTGCATATATTTGAAAGATCAAGAATTGTATAATTCAATGTAAAGATTGAATGTCCAGTTGTTACCTGTTAAAGAGTTAGTTATATCTGATCTTAACCATAAAAATGACATCTGTTGGAGTTGTGGCTTCTTTAGTCACTGTGACAGTCTTGCACAGTAATACACAGCTGAGTCTAGTCTAAAAAATCATTTCCCTGTGGAAACACTGTGTTTTTGGACGTGTCCTGGGTGAAACTGATCTTGTTTCTCACTGGGTCTTTAATGTCAGCGCCACCACCACTACAAAGATATCCGAGCCATTCCAGTGCTTTTCCAGTGGGTTGACGGATCCAGTGAATGCAATAGCTTGATTCTGAAACCCTGCAGGAGATGGAGAATGATTCTTGAGGTTTCACAACCAAATATGGAGGTTGAGTGAGCTCAACACAGAAAACACCAGCTGAAAAACAATAAAAGAATGTGTTAGTATTTATATTTCAAAACAAAAATATTTAATTGCTTTAGAGTTTAGTAGTAGAGCTGATGAGAAGATCATGATTTAAGATGATGTGAATTTCTCCTTCTGTGCCCCAGACACACTTCACTTTAGTACATAGCAGATGGAGAATTTGCATATAGTTATATATGTAAGCACAAAAAAAGATGAAGAAATTGACAGGACATGTCACGTTTCTTTAAGGTGTAAAATATATTCTTAATATAAAGATATAACGTTGATGTTTTGATGTGAAGGCCTATTTAGAGATTCTTATTGGTCATTCAATTTGCATCCTAAAATTTGAACATTAAACCTTTATACATTTGTTTAGACCAGGGGTTCTCAACTTTGGCCCTCAAGGTACATTGTCCTGCAGAGTTTAGCTCCAACCCTAACCAAACACACCTGAACAAGCTAATCAAGGTCTTCAAGATTGCTAGAAAGTTACAGACAGGTGAGTTTGATCAAGGTTGGGGCTAAACTCTGCAGGAAAGTGGATCTCGAGGGCCAGAGTTGAGAACATCTGGTCTAGTGCGACAGATCTTATTAGGTGCATCAACAGAAAATTACATGCTGAAATACTGAAAAATATAAATGCATTTACCAAAAAATTAAACAACAGCCACCTCCTGGTAATGAAACGGAATTGATTTTTGCATCGCTTTGACCCTGAGCTCATTCACTGCGTTATTACACAATAATAGACAGCAGTGTCTTCAGTCTTGAGGCTGTTCATCTGTAGGTAAAGCTGACCTCTGTAGTCATCTCTGGACACTGTGAACCTGCCCTGAACTGACTGGAAATAGAAGATCTGAGAACTGGATACATGGATGAATGCAATCCACTCCAGTCCTTTTCCAGGGATTTCTCTAACAACAGCTGCAGCACAGGTACTGAATGAAAATTCAGAGGATGTGCAGACCAGCCGAAAAGATTCACCAGGTCTTTTTACCACACCTTGAGACTGAATGAAAGTCTGACAATGAATATCTGTGGAGCAGAACAAAAGTGAATACACTGAAACATTTACAGAATCTAAAGCTTTCTTTAATAAATTACATTTAATCTGACGAATTTAGAAAATGGCATTATTTACTGACCATGTAAAAATAAGTTTAACAAGAGTGAATTCATTTTTTTCTTCATTGTCGACTGTTGACTGACTGTCAGCAAATACAGACACATTACAAAGCTTACAGCAGCTTAAGAAGAAAACACATTGCAGGTTTGCATTAACTCTTTCCCTCCGTCTGCATTGCAAATTTTCTCGCTCACCTAAATGTACAGTATGATAAACAAGTGCACAAGAATTTATAAGGATAGATTTAAAAACATTTTGTAGAGTGAGTAGTGCACGTGATTTACAGCATATCAGAAATGGGCCTTACCGAAAATACCTTTATTACAGCAAAACCTTATTTTGATGCCACAAAATACTGTCATTTAAAAAGATATAAGTAAATTTTTAAAAGATTATGGGATTTTTTTTATATTTATGATTGGATACGGGAAGATGGATGGTAATATATTAAAGGGTTTTGACTTGAGGACGTTTTTGTGCAGAGCTGTGGCTTGTTTAGTGACTGTGTGTATCTTGCACAGTAATACACAGCCGTGTGTCTTCAGTCTGAAAATTATTTCCCTGTAGAAACACTGTGTTTTGGACGTGTCCTGGGTGAAACTGATCTTGTTTTTCACAGAGTCTTATTACTGCCACCACCACTACAAAGATATCTGAGCCACTCCAGTGCTTTTCCAGCGGTTTGACGGATCCAGTGAATAAATAATGCATCAGTAAAGCTCACGGGATGCAGCTGCTGCCAGCAGTAGTAGAGCTGATGAAAAGATCATGGTTTGAAGTAAATGCTACTTTATTACTCCTACTCTTGATTCTGCTTGTTAGCAGCTGTTCATCACTAATGCTCAATCATCACTTAATTCATCACTTAATTATCTCATTAACTTTAACTCTGCTTCAGGGTTACTTTAACACTATTTAGAGTGGAACCAAATGTTCTCTGAATAGAGTTGATTTAACTCTGGGGATTTTGCTGTGTACTAATTTATTGCGTGATTGATTAAATAGTGTGCAAATGTGAAATGCAACAAAATGCATGTACCAAGATTTCAAATACTTTAATGAAGCAAATAAATAGTCAAGCAGTCATGTAGCAGCTGAAGAACGTAATAATATATAAAATGCAAATAAACAGTAAATAAATAATATTCTAGGCACTTTTTATGTGTCTGCAATATTTTTTTGCATTTTGTTTCCAACCAGTCTCTGCAGAGAAAGCAGTAATTCTTGCACAGGTCTTCAGGCAATTTGTGATGCTGTGTATTGCGTGCACAATAATATACAGCTGT